ACTTTTATACTTGCATACATACTAGAATGTGTGTACTTTTGCAATGCAGATGCTTTAATGTAGTGTCGTCAGTCAAACACAAAGATGTGTGAGAGGAACTAGGCTGGAGAGAAGGGTTCTCCCCTAATCATCATATTACTGTTCTGCATCAACACACACAGCATGCAGGGAAAGAACCCAACATTTCCTCATTAACACTCGACTGATTTCACACACAACAACCATCACTGACAATAAACTCACTCAGACACACTGCGATCACACAGGTTCAATGTGTCTGTAAAGCTCTAGTGTTCAGTTTGTGCTGCTGTTGAACTGTGTTGCTTCTGCTATTTAGTCTACTCTCATTGATAGAAATAGGCTGGACAAAATAATAGAAACACCTGTTGTAACCATGTCCAAATAATTGTCTCGCATTATACGTTTCCTGACTTCTATTGATTACTGTACGAAGACCCACTTTCTAACTGTATTCAGTGATTTTGGTGAAACTGGATCAGATTTGATGTTTTTCCCTCTGATGTCCTGCTGCAGCTCTGTATTTGCTGTTAGCAGGCAACAGTAAACTCTCAAATATTGGCCTTCATTTACCATTTTTTTTATCAAGCAGGCTTATCAGAGACAAGACTGTATTTCTACTTCACTTTGAGAATCCCTTCATTTTTTAACAAGGTGTTTTATTGTGAAACATTTGCAGGACCCACTTGTGGAAAATTGTTGGCCGGTTTTACACTCACTGACAGCTTTAGGTTAAAATAAAAAAGACACATTTGTAAAAATCTCTAACCACCTTTAGATATTTCTATTGCTTTACTAATGTGCCACCATAATGTTTTTTAGTTCAAATATCATCATGTACAAGCAATTATTAATATATGTGATGGTTTGAGATTACATCAGCAGACATTTTTGCCTCCTTCTGGACACCCTATGAATATTTCTGTATGGTACTTCAAATGTAGCTACTGCCATCTTCTGGCACTTGTACGTTACTACACAATACAGTTTGGCTGAGATATTAACACCCACTGTGACTGAAATGGGCAATAACAACGCAAATGTTAACTGCTGTTGACTCTTCACGAAGAAAGTGATCCAGATGTCTTTGCAAAATCAGCGCAAAATACACATTTCCTCACAGGGAATGCTGAGAAAGGAAATGTAAAGTTGTCTGCTTCCACTTTAAAGTGATGGAAAAGTACATTTTGCAGATTATATATCAGACGCCAGGAGATTATCTACCCTTGTTTTTCTTCATTTGAAAAAATACTGTAATACCAAAACATTTGTACAATTTGTGTTTAAAAGCACAGACTTGCTTTATTTGTCAAACTACCAAATAATGAAGACAAAGCTGATTACGTTGGTTTCCTCCCTCTCTCTGTCATTTCCCAGGATGCCTTTACCGAGTTGTATGGTGATTCCAGACCTCGAGCCAGATTCTGGTCCCTGGCGACAGTTTTTGGGCTGGCTGTACTGGGAGCAGCTGGGATCACACTGGGAGCCCTGTTTATCCGGAGATAAAACTGTTCTGAACCGGTCCAGTCAGCAGCCTCTGCACTGCAGTTCCTCGAACAACCACTAGGTACTGCTGTGACCAAACTCTGAATATACTGACTTGAAGGAGAAAACCACCAACTTCTCTCTTCAAATACAAAATCAGACAGTTTTTACACGACCAGCTCAGCTCTCAGCAGATTCACTGAGCTTCTTTCTCTGTCCGACTGAAGGATGATTTTCAAAATAAATGTTCCATTAAGGAGATATTAAGGTTTGGAGTTCAGCTAATTATAGATTTTGGTCAGAACTCAAACCAGACAACACCATATTGGACTGGAATATATTGACATTTAATGATTTTTTTTAATAGATTCAGGGATTTTTAGAACCACCTACAATTCACTAATTACCACAAAAAAAACATCTGAATTTTAAAGACCAAATTGGTGTGGAGGTCATCTTTATGTCACTGCAGTTGTGTGCACATTATGGTGGCAGAAAAAAGTGCAAACAAGTGGAGAGTAACAAACAGAAACTGGGAGATAAAGAAATGGAATTAAGAAAACATGGTTGTGCCATTGAAATGGACATTAGCTTGCTTGCTAACATGGACAAATTGCTAAATAGCTATCCTACCCGAATTGTTAGTTATACACCTTTCCTTTGTACCGTTACATCATTTATTGTTGGCTAAATCAACACAAATTAATGGCTGAGTTGCAGGCTAACATGAAAGAAGAAATCAAACCGCTGTCAGACAGATTTTTCAACAGGTGGAATGTGAGCCAACGCCAGTACAATATTGGGTCCTGATGAAATGGATGTTGTTTCACTTCAATGTTGGTATCAGGCAACTGTGGTCAAAGTTGACCAACATTTCTTCAGAGGATCTTGAGAAGAGGAAGTTGTTGACATATAAGAGATGAAGATCCAGAGCCACATCCCAAATTAGGGATTGTTTGTCTACTTTGACAACCCAAAATACTGTTTAACTGCACTGGAATAAATGCACAAAAACACAGGTTGTGATACATTTGTATCTTTTATTTTATTTTATTTTTATATACAGATCTGGATATAGATCCATAAACCTGAATACCACTGGATCTTTCCGGATACGGGCCTTTCTTGTTCAGTGGCTGTTTGACCAGAACCACCTGTTTAACGTAGAACCAGACTGATGTTTGCTGTCTAAAAGTGTATCATAAAGGCTGTAAATGTTGTTATTGTGTAAATATTTGTTTTCTTCTTCTAGGGAACTTTTTTTTTCTCCCTCTTCAACAGACCTTTTAAAATAAAGGTTTTTAGAAACATTGAATAATAAACTTAAACTTTTTTGTTGAATAAAGGTTTATTTATGCACTTTGTTACTTCTTTGTTTCTGTTTTGTACATTAAGTACACGGACATAATGTGATCTCGGCAGTGTCTTCTTCGTGTCTTCTTCGTGTGAACATCTGCTTTGTGCATTTGCATCTGTACTGTACCTTATGTCTGCATCCAGGTGACTCTAGTTTTTAACAGAAGATAACACGTGTTTAAGAGACATTCTTTTTCCTCATACAGTTTCTCCAGCTGTGTCGGCAATAACCTGTTATTGCAGTGTTTGAAGCTATAACTTGAAGGATGGGCTGACAGAATTATTCAAAGACGAGAAGAGGGAGGAGATTAAGTGAGAAATAATTACGGTATATAAAAGAATATCACAAAACCAATCAACATAAATGATTTCAATACTTTTCAATTGAAAGATTCAGCATCAAAAACAGGCATCCTCCAGTCAACATACACAGCTATTATTCCTGTCTTTTGGCCTATGTAAGTGTGGTCCAGACTACCCTGCAGATTTATGTCAATTTTCATCCTTTTTGTTCACCCGAAAAATAACTAAACATAAAAGTCAAAATTTATGTTGACTTTTATTTAAAGTCAAAATGTAAAAATATGGTCCCTGAAGGTCCTGCAGCTAAAAAATACCATGCTGCACTGAGCAGTATTTGTTCCTCTGTATTATTTATTATTTTTCTAAAGTAACCATTATGTTAGATTGTTCCAAATCTTTAGTTCTCTCTGAGACTCTATCTCCACCCCACATGTTCAACATATACAGGGACTCTGTAAGACACACCGCAGGGAAACCAAGCAGATCCAGCTGCCATCAGAGTGCTCACCCACCAAGGCTTAGCTGCCCCCACCAGCCTCTAAAGCCAACCATAAATGGGTGAAGGCCACTCAGCCTGCTATGTTGCAAGGCTGTCTTTGAAAGGTCATGCATTTCTTGCTTCTAGGCTGGATTGCTGCAATTCCTTATTATCAGGCTGCCCCAATAAGTCCAGTAAGACACTCCAATTAATTCAGAATGCTGCAGCACAAGTACTGACAGGAACTAGGAAAAGAGATCATATCTCTCCTCTCCTCTCCTCCTCACCTAGAAAGCTCTTCATGGTCAGACCCCTTCATATCTTAAAGAGCTCATAGCCAAGTCAGCCAAGTCAGCTTTATGGAGACACCAATGATCCTTTCAGCTGCTCTCACGATGCGCTGCAGAGTCTTGCGGCAGGACACGGTGCAGGTGCCGTACCACACGTGATGCAGCTTGTCAGGATGCTCTCGATGGTGCCTCTGTAGAAGGTGTGCACGATGGGGGGCAGGGCTCCTGCTCTTCTCATTTTGCGGAGAAAGTACAGGTGCTGTTGGGCTTTTTTGGCCAGTGATGCAGTGTTGTGGCTCCAGGACAGGTCTTCAGAGATGTGCACACCCAGGAACTTGGTGCTGCTCACCCTCTCCACTGCAGCAGTCCACAATAATCGCCTTCGTCTTCTCTACATTCAGGTGGAGATTGTTGACCTTGCACCACGTGACCAGCCTGCTCACCTCACTCCTGTAGTTTGTCTCATCGCCGTTGTTGGTGGGACCCACCACAGTTGTGTCGTCCGCAAACTTAATAAAGAGGTTGGAGCTGAATGATGGTGTGCAGTCGTGGGTCAGCAGAGTGAAGAGGAGGGGGCTCAGCACACATCCTTGGGGGGCCCCTGTGTTCAGTGTGATGGTGCTGGAGGTGTTGCTGCTGACTCGAACTGGATGTGGTTTCCCCATCAGGAAGTCCAACAGCCAGTTGCACAGGGAGGGGTTGAGCCCCAGCTGGTCCAGTTTGTGGATGAGCTGCTGGGGGATGATTGTGTTGAATGCTGAGCTGAAGCCGATGAACAGCATTCTGACGTAGGAGTCTTTAGTCTCCAGGTGGGTGAGGGTTGAGTGGAGAGCAGCGGAGATGGCGTCATCGATCTAGCGGTTAGACCGATATGCAAACTGGAAAGGTTCCAGGGCGGGGGGGAGGACAGACTTGATGTGCTGCATGACTAGCCGCTCAAAGCACTTTATGAGGATGGGAGTGAGTGCGACCGGGCGGTAGTCATTGTAGCAGGAGGGAGATGTGTTCTTTAGGACCGGGATGATGGTGGTGGCTTTGAGGCACATGGGGACAACAGCCTGTCTCAGTGAGGTGTTGAAGATGTCGGTGAAGACATCTGTGAGCTCCTCAGCACAGTCTCTAAGGACACGACCAGGAATGTTGTCAGGACCCTGGGCTTTTCATGGGTTCGTCCTTCTGAGGGATCGCCTCACACTATCTGGGGATAGCGCCAACACCTGGTCACCGGGAGGTAGCCTCAAAGTGAGCGAAGAAGTCGTTCAGCTGGTTCAACAGAGAGGTGAAGCTGTCGCAGGTCTGTAGAGAGGGCTTATAGTCCGTGATGGTCTGCATCCCTCGCCACAGGTTCCTGGTGTCTCTGCTGTTGTTGAAGCGGTTGGCGATCCTCCTGGAGTACTGTCTCTTGGCCTTTCTGATGCCTTGTGACAGGTTGGCCCTGGCTGTCCTCAGGCCCACCTTGTCGCCAGCTTTGAAGGCGGCGTTCCAAGCCCTCAGGAGCCTGTGGACTTCCCCTGTCAGCCATGGCTTCTGGTTGGCCCGAATGGAGATGGTTCTGGTGGCCGTGACATCGTCCATGCACTTCCTCACGTAGGAAGTGACAGTCTCTGTGTACTCCTGGAGGTCTGTGATGTTGTTGTAGGTGGCTGCCTGTCTGAACATGCTCTAGTCGGTGGTGGAGAAGCAATACTGGAGTGCCTCTGAAGACCCCTCAGGCCACACACGTACCTGCTTTGTAGCTGGTTTGGTGACTTTAACCAGCGGCCTGTATGCTGACATTAACCCGAATCCTAACCCTAGCACCCTATTACACCACTAGAACACTGCGTTCTCTGAATGCAGGGCTACTTGTGGTTCCTATAGTCTCTAAAAGTAGAACAGGAGCCAGAGCCTTCAGTTACCAAACTCCTCTCCTGTGGAACCAGCTTCCAGTTGTGGTTCGGGAGGCAGACACCCTCTCCACATTTAAGAGTAGGCTTAAAAAAAAAAAAAAAAAATGTAATTGAACTGATTTGTAAGAGCAGAGTAAGAGTGGTCCCAGAGGCATGGTCAGGTGTTGCCATGAGTAGGCAGTTAGGAGCTAGCAGAAGTGATTGTTTGGTCCTCTAGTGTGGTATATTTTGGCTTCTGTGTAGTTTCCCTGTTTAGGTATTAGCAACATGATCCATTTGGACTTGTTATATGTTAATAACCAGCTCAGTGAGGTAGCTTAGTTTTTGGATAGGCAGTCTAGTTTGAGAGGGACTTCCACATTAGTTTTGGGGACACTATTCGTTTCTCATTTGTTTACTAGTTGACTTATTCGACGATTTCTGTTGGTTCTTGTGTTTCTTCTGCTGGGGTCCAGGTTTAGTTTAGTATGGCTGGGATAGTAGATTTTGTTGCTGCTCCGAGTGAGGGGTTTTTAGATCGTTGCACTAAGGATCAGCTTCTAAAGATTGCTGAAGAATATGACCTTGAGAGAGAGAGAGAGAGAGAGAGAGAGAGAGAGAGAGATTTGCTGACGACCCTCTGCCACGCCCACTTAAAGTACCTGCAAAGAAAACAACTGCTAACAGGTTAATCTCTACCGAATTCATATACCTCAAGTTCAAAAGAGAGTTTGAATGAATTTATTGTCATTAAAGGCACACTATGCAAGATTTTTACCTTAATATAGCAGCTTCGAAGTCTTTTAGATGGTAAACGAACTTGTAGTATAGCGAATCATCCCGATAGCAAAGCAGGAGAGGGATGCCGTTGGCAGAACCAGCAATGCAAGTCTGAAAGGTGGCGTCCCGCCAAATCTCGCAAGAATCACGAATTGCTTTACAGCGCGATGTCACGTACATCAGCGACATAAGAAGCAGCCTCAATGGAAGACACTAGCAGGCATTCACTCAGACGTTACCTGGTCAGTAGACATCTTCGGAGTCTATCTTTGCCTGTTCGATGTTCGAGCTACCATCCTACTGAACATGTACCGGTATACATAGGGAGGGGATCAGGTCGTGAGTGCAGAGACGCAGAGCCGTATATAGAGACGGCTCTGGTGAGTGGTATTTACGACAGTTAATGTTAAATACAAGTACTCCGCAGCGACTCTAGGGGGAGCTGTTTGACAAAACCGGAAAACTGCATAGTATGCCTTTAACTCTGGATGATGATTTTATTAAATGTGACCTTTTTGGATTTAGTCTCATGTATAAACTCCATGACAGTTATGTATCTATGTATGTACATATATACATGTACATACATGTCGGTGAGGTGTAACCCTGTTTTCTCTGTTGTCCACCCTGTAGGAACAAACACAGCAGTTATCTCTCATGAACAGAGTGAGGCTGTAATTTCGGAGCTTCAAGTAAAAATGTCATCCTCATGGTGGCGCTAAAGGAAAAGTTAGACAAAAGTTATTATTGTTCTTTGTGTGACCAGTTCAGGTCAGTTTACAGTTAAAATAGTTTCTTACTTCAAGTCTGAGGGTCCATGTTTATCACTGAAGTTTGCAGGTCTGTATTTAGACCGGCTGGATCCTGGAGACTCTGATCTGTCCTCTGTCTCCAAATTACTAATCTTCTGGACTCGAGGCACAGTGATGGATGACCTCTGAGGTCTCAAGAACCAAGACATATATACAGCAATACATTTCAGATAGACTTCAATAAAGAATTGATCATTTATAACCAATAGTCATACAGTTAGATTTGTCAGAAAAGGCTCTGCTGTTCTCAGTGAATGTGAGCAGTGAGGAGAACGTATACACTGATTGGATGTTACTTGTCAGCTGGTAGCTGAGAAGTCGAGGGATGAGCCATTGATGCCAATCGGTAACAGGAAATGTGAGTTAAACTTGAACAAACACAATCTCCTCTCACCATGTCCAGCTCTCTCAGATGGGAGGGGTTGGACTTCAGAGCTGAGACCAGATAATCACAGCTGATCTCTGACAACTT